GATTTCGTTCATCGTGACCTTGCAGCTCGGAACATCCTTGTTGGTCAAGACGGACGAGTGAAGGTGTCAGACTTTGGTTTGATGCGCCAAGTGTACGAAGACGTGTACAGCATAAAAAAAGCTAAAAAGCTGCCAGTTAAATGGATGGCACCGGAGAGCATCTTCGAGGGTGTTTTTACTATCAAGAGTGACGTGTAAGTAGACTGGAGCTGCTACTGAGTGTAGTATTTCTGTTTCAGCAAATTTTCTCTTTTGTTTGTTTACAACTTGTTTTTTTTCAGTCTTGCTCAGAGATGCCGCAAATCTCAATTTAATAGTTAATGTTTAAAATTTCTCGCAGTTGGTCTTATGGAATTTTTCTCTGGGAAATGGCTACCATGGGTAGGTTAAAAAGCTTTTCTTGATAGATATCTGTTGTTTTTATCATTAACGTTTTTCATATTGTTAGAGTTATTTGTTCGTCGTTGCATTCATACTTCTTCTTCTGTTGTAATTAAGGTGGTGTTCCATACCCTACGTTTACCAATACAGAGCTCTGTAAACTTCTAAAGAATGGTTATCGCATGGAAAAACCTGATATGTGCTGCCATGAAGTGTGAGTAGAATTTTGTTTTGAAATAATTGTCACCCTATCGTTTTATTCTAATTGCCAACAAATTTTGTTTTTTTCACTGGATTTCACCACAAGCTCTAATAAAAATGTACTATCCCTCTTCATACTTGAAAGATATGAAATGATGACGTCATGCTGGGAGAACGATCCTACAACTCGCCCCAGTTTCTCGGAGTTGATTGACCGACTGGAGGCTATTATGACGAGGGATGTAACATACTGCGATATGTCAAACTGCGATGAATCGAGTCCATACTATAACATACAGGACATGGTTGACGAAGAAAGCGGATGAGATGTATAAACAAGGGTTGTCGCCCAGTCATCACCGCCTGGTAGACAACACTACCTCCGAGTTTCTTATGTTATGGATAATAGCTGTAAAGATAAGTTTCTCGAAATTTCTAGAATGCCTAGTCATGCTGACATGCTTACCTTGGATGTAATACTAACGCAGTTGTTGTATTGTAAGCTTCCGAAATGTTCTAGAATACTTTGTAAATGTAAATAAGGATTCAGCCGTTTGGTGGTAGTTAGTTGCTGTTGTCAGGAGTAACCTACTTGGGAAGCTATACTGAAGGAGAGCTACTGCGGAAGATTGTTCATTTCGGAGTTTTGGAGACGTACGGCTGTGAGATTGTGTCAGTGGTAAGCTAAGATATAGACTGTAGTGAGCTCAAGTAAGTATATTGAGGATAATTTCTGTACTTCCATTAGGAGTCGCTCCATATTAAGAATGTTCCTCATTGTTTGATAAAGTAGTTGAGTTTGTAGTTTGTTTCTGTTGGTTTGATTATACCGTAACACTTATCATTGTTAAAACATGCTTAACTTGCTTAAAACATATAATTCTATAAACGGTTTTATCTATATTGATGTTTAAGACATTCAAAGCTGCAAGGCAAAGCTAAGGGATAGGGAAAGCCTCAATTTATTAGTTGTTACATTCCAAAATTGAACCTTTGGTATTATGTAATGTTTAAAAAACGAGCAGGAGTGTTTAATCGGGTTTAAAACCACGAGGCGTAGCCGAGTGGTTTTTGACCCGATAAAACACGTGCTGCGAGTTTTTTGAACGGCTTCAAAAACATTCTTGGAAAAGCGTGTGTCAAGAGAGTTCATAACAATTATGCTTTTGTGAACGTTAGAAATTAGCATACGAGAAAAACATTCATGTATTGGCTACTATGCCTTTACCAGATTACTGTACTAATGGAATAGATAATTTTTCCAGATGTGTATTTCACAACTGTACTATTAATTTGGTGCAAAAGTAAATTTACTGTGTGAAATTTGTTGAAAGAACATTAAATATGTTCCCACCATTTGTTGTGTCAGTTTCTGTGTTGATAATTAATTGATATTCATAAGTCACGTGCAGTGTCTTTATATCTGATAAAACACCGCATACTAATAAGGATGAGGTTTATCGATATAAAGTCACTGCACGTGATGTATTATCTACCATTTGATAGGTTAATGGGCTTATGAATTATTAATGAGTTTTTGAAGTTTGAATAATGGAGACATGAAGTACCACGAGCGTTGCATTTAGTTTGAGAGTTAAAAACCAGTAGTGCTAGCATTTTATGAAGTGTTGCTGTTTTTACCTTTGAAATAAATTATAAAAAGAAAAAAAGGAAATAAAAGGTTATAAGCTCGGAAAGATATCATCAATTGAAAAGTAGTTGTAGGTATTAAATTGGTGTTGATTACATCAAAGGATAGTGGAAAAGCGACTTAAGTTTGTAGCTGGTGTCATCTTTACTTTGGGTGACAGTACGAGGGATGGAACCCGTTTGCTGATACGCCACGAGACTTGAAGCCGCTGCACATTTTTCAGGCATATCTCATCGGCTATTCAGCAAGTGGACTTCGCACAGCCACATTGTGTATATGCCTAGCTTAGACTGTATAGTATTGAAGGCTTTTGTATGCGCGTTTTTTAACACGGGCACGATTTATCCACTAAGGAGAAAAGAGAAAAACGTTCAATTTTAAAATTGGAAGGATTTCACATGGAGACTCTCGTGATTTCTTTTTCTGTGCTATTACATCAAGCTGTGTTGTATATTGATTTTTTGGTTCTTAGACAATATGTGAACATTATCAATCATTGCTGATACTCGCAATTCAGGGCATTTAAATTAATTTTTCATATTATTCGGTAATACAAGACTGGGATAAAGAAGCATTTGACACTTAGTTTGGCCCATCGAACTCGGTTGCTCATCTGGACAGTTCAAAAAAACATTTTGATGAATGGAATCAAAACACTATAATGCTC